ACTGGCCCCAAAACTGAGCCCTGGGGAACACCGCTCGTGACCCACCGCCAACTGGATTTCACTCCGTTCACCACAACTCTCTGGGCCCGGCCGTCCAGCCAGTTTTTTACCCAGCGCAGAGTACACCTGTCTAAGCCGTGAGCCGCCAGCTTCTCTAGGAGAATGCTGTGGGAGACGGTGTCAAAGGCCTTACTGAAGTCCAGGTAGACCACATCCACAGCCCTTCCCTCATCCACTAGGCGGGTCCTATCAGACCAAACTAAAGCTTAGCCCTTGTTTTATATGCAGGCTTTTTAACATGAAACAGAGTTGCTTATGATAGCAGAAAACATGATTAGCTCTGGACAGGATAGTATTTGGAGAGAGAGGCAGGGACACCATGTAAGCAGAGTTTCAGACAGGTTAGGGAATGGAGATCAGGAAGTAGAGAACAACCTTTGTGAGAGTGGCAGACACCTAGTTATTCACAAGGACTGAGGTGAGAGTCTGGTATCTCACAAACAAGCCCTATCAACTGGGAATATCTGCCTGACTTGTAAAGGAGATGGGACTGAGACATGTGCATGCATATCTGCACTAGGGGACTACCAATACGAATAAAGACATGTAAGAGTTCAGTGCAGGTCAACAAGTGGCACACGTGCCACGAAGTACATGCCTAGCTCTCTTCGCTGCAAGTTAGATTTAAGTGATATAACTGTGAACTGTATTTCAGGAAGTCTTTCAGCTACAGGTGGTTGGAAGCTGAGTTAATACCCGGGGGGAAAGTATCACACATGCCTGTGTTATTCCTGTTACTCCTCCCTAAACATAAACCTGGCCAAAACCAGGAGACAGGATACTGGGCTTGATGAGCCTTTGTATAGTATTCTTATCCAAGCTGCAATAAAACCCTTGAATACAATACAGGCAGAGTGAACAGTTTGCTGCATTTCAAGATATTTGGACACTTGGGACTACCTCATAAGTACTTGGATGGCTACACTACAGAACTGGAATCTGGAAGCAGACAGATGACTTCAAGACTGTGGCTGGATTTTAGGCTGTGTGCTAGTTATTAGAAATAAGGGTGGAGAGAACTAAGTGGAGAAATAGTGTGCTGATGACTCAAGTATAGCTGTGGTCACGCACGGTAATTGTTTGTTTCCTTGCTTTAAGTTGCTGGTACCAGTGGATTTAATGAGAATTTTCATGTTAAAATACTACATGGAGCTACTTTAATAAGCTTGGTATTGTTCTGTGTGACAGGTGTGGGTATTCCGATGATGTTGCTGGGAATCTATGAATTAGCATGCCCTTAGTTCCCATTTAGTTAAGGGATTTGACCAGATCAGTTGAACTTCAAGATCCTGAGCACCAGGAATGCTTACTTTCGTCGATGTTATAACGTGATAGTTGAAACCCTTACTGCCAAGGTCAAAACACTCACCCAATTGCGTGCCAGATCCAAAATGCTTTGTCTTGTCACTCCTGGAAGGATGATGCCATCTAAAGGTGGGGTTGCCAATTCATTTTCTGTCAAACACAAAAGAAATAGAAACACTGGTTGAAAAGCAAACAAAGAAACAAAAATAATGTTTACCGATATTACACCAAACATGAAAATAAAAAAGAAGTTGAATGATATCAGAAACGTTCCCTACCCAGTAAGATGCAAGATTTATCAGAGTTCTATAAGAACACAAGTTACACAAATTCAATTCCAATAAGTTGTTATTGTTTGGAACCTTTTGAGTATGTTTCAGTGGGTGGGGAAGAAACGTATTTAATACATTAATAAATACATGGCTAAAGCCTAGTAGTAGGTTTTATTCCTCAGTGTATTATGGACTCACTGTATAACTACTGGGAACCATTGAATGGCTCAGTCTTCAAATTAAGAATAGAGAGGCACAAGGGAAAGCCACGCCTAATAATCTCAGGGCAGATCATGACTTTCCCTGAACTGCTTTACTTAATTTAGGAATATGGGGTTCAGTATACCTACTTCATAGCATTAATATGAAGCATCTACCAGAAGTTTTGAGGCCCGTTTACTGAACAAGCAAAGCAGTGGAAACTTTGCCAGATGCGTCTTGAGAGGAGACTTCCTTAATGATCTTTTGTCTTAGTCTAGACATCCTTTTTCCCCCTAATTTTTTCTTTACACAAAAAGAGCAGCCCTAATAAAACTGCAAAAGCACCAACAATTCATATTGTTCAACTAGTCTGGTTTGTTAGCTTGTTTTTCTTGTTTGCTTTTGGAAAAGAACATTAGATAAATGTTCATCTAACATAATTAATGAAACGGTAGATAAATGATAATCCATACTTGGTAAATACTTAAATTACAACACAGAAGTTTGTATGTAGTCTTCGTTCTTCCATCTAACAGTCGCAGCAAATCAGAGTTAATATTTTTCATTTTAAACCATCACTTTTATTTTAAACCATCACATAGCATACTCAGTGGTTTCTATTATCAGAGAATACCGAGCATTTCCTCTTTCAGACAGCCAGGCTCTTTTAAGACAGTCTCAAATCTGCACTGAGAAGTGAAGACATCCACAGTCTTTCAGTAATACTCGTCATAATTTTTTTTCTAACCACTTTCTCTTCTCAATGAGAATCCATTATCTTTCTTGATCTTATAAGGATACTATCCTGCTTATTAAATCCACAAACCATTAAGGTTATTGATTCATTTTTACCTAGGTCACATAAAAGAACAAGATATATTATGCCCCCTTCTCCCTACTCGCAAAAGATCACTGAATCCAGGCCTGTTTGAACCAGTCTCAAAGGAGAAGCTGTCTTAAAAATGTTTCTATAGGTCCTGTGAAAACTTGCAGCTGAGCAGAAGAGAAAAACACAGTATTTGTCCTTGGACTGAGAGAGCAGGTTGAGCTCAGCTGCTTAATACTCTGTTTTCAGCTGTCAGCTAGATAATTCTGTGCACAAACACTGCCTGCCAGCCAGTGCGTACACAGCTCCAGACTGACTACAGCATGGGCTCTCTCCTGCTCTGCAAGAGAGGGCTTTGGGAGCTGGGGTGGGATAGGGGAAATGGAGGATAAATAAATGGAATTGTTCATTGAATCTGCTACTCACTGTCCATTGTCTCAGGAAATGTCTGTTACTTTTTAATGCAGCCACCCCTGGATTTATTAATTTGGATTGGGAGTTTTTCCTACCTATGCTTCCATGTTCCTTTTATGAGGATCCATACACACCTAAGTAACAGATGTAAACTGCCATGCCAAAATGTATAAAAAAGCTGCCCTAGAACAGGCTATATATTCTGCTCTGGTTTGAGTGCTATTCCTTAACCTATCCCAGACTCCTAACTACAGCAGTGCTCTCTTCTTTCTTATACAGTCAGGAACAATAGCTTTCCTTTTTTGGAGTCTGTCTAGCATCACTCCTAATCATGCTGCGTGTCTGGTCCTAATTCTGGCACAACTATCAAAACAAGAGGACTTAAAAACTTTCCATGAGGCACAGGGCTCACCTGATTCTGAACACTGGAAACCTGATGTTCTGCATTTGTGACCCAGTCATATACAAGTGCTCCCCTTTCTCTAACAGAAAACTTCAAATAACGTGGACCTTAATACCAAAGATTGTGACTACACACCAGATAATATTCTCTATTTGGTGATGTTGCCACAGATCTTGGCCAGGACCTGTTTAAGCTCAACAACATATATTAATTGATTTGAGCTAGTTTGAAAAGGTGCCAGGCCAAACCAGCCGCCAAACAGCACTGAGCAGACAGGACATGGGAGTCTCAAAATGTTTCGAACAGCCTGCTCTGTAGAATTTTGTCAAGTATACATATGATGCCTACCAGCCCGGGGCCACTCAAGGAACATCTGCTCCCCTGGTATCCGGCAGAGATGATAACGCTATACAACATGGCATGCCAAAAAGCTCATCCTCTCTGTGAATTGATGCCAAACCAGGCTCCATGTGACATCAGTTTGTCCATCTCCAAAAAAACAGACTGTGAGCTCACAGACTCCATTTGCCTTCTGAATTATTTTGATGGGCTAGAAGCCTTAAAATATATAGTAGCAAAAAGGGGGGGAAAGGCATTTGAAGGAAAATGCCAGGGTTTCTCTTCAGTTGACTACTGTTACTGTTATAATAGTAGCACTATCAGTCCAGTGCCCCATTACACCAGGCATAGTATAGGCATGCTGTAACAATGGAACCCCATCAGAGTGTTTAAAGGGATTTTTAAAATGAGGTGTTGCATATTACATAGCTTCAATTTTTACACATCTGTATTTATGAACATACAGCAGATAAGATTCCAAACACGGGACGCCTTCAGTACTAGTCACACTATAACAATGCTGAGAAATTCACCAAAATATATTTTACCAAAATGATAACAGATACCAAGTGAACTTCAGGGTCAAGGAGAACCCAGGAAACCCTGATTTCACTATTATAAACAGCTGACTTCTCTCCCTGTTTGTTATGGACCTTTCTATTTCTTTCTCCCTATTTCCCTCAGGTTTTTCTTCTACTCTCCCCTCATGCAATCACTCTTGTCTTCGCATCTCTGTCAATGTACATTCCTCAGTTACTTTTCCCTCCTTTTCTTTGTCTGCCATCTCATTCATCTGCTGCTCTCCCCTCCATGCTATTGCCATGGCTTTCTATTAGAGCAGAAGGTACGATCCTTATTTTGTTAGTAGTCTACTTGTACGAGGTACTTCTGCAGCACAAATAATCCTCCACCTACAGAACACGAAGCAAACTTGCCTGATATTTTACCTGACTGTTCCAGAGAATCTTTTAACATATTTGGTTTTTTATTTATGTAAGCTATTTTGAAGTGGCCACTATTAATCCCCATTTTAATAACAGCACAAAAATATTAAGTAATGCCTGAATGCTATTCACAATGCCTTAACATTAAAGCTAGAAGTAGAGCCCAGATGGTTCCAAATCATTCTAAAGAAACTGAATTTTTGGAAGGTGCACACAGATTTCATAGTTAGCAACCTTCAGGTTGGACATACGTTTCAATTTTAAGGTTTTCCATAAAGTCAAGCCTATATTCTAGGCAGAAGAACAGACATTATTAAAGGAAACAAGTTTCAGTGTTAACAGCTTCTTGGGATTGTTATGTGCTCTGAAAAGGCGGGTGGAAGGGACTGTAGGGTGACCAAAATTTTCACTTTGCAACCATAAACTGTAAACAGTGTTTGACGAATGATACATCACACTCCTGTATTTATGCAACAGCAGGGATCCAGATTTTGTCATATTATAAGCCTCAGCCAGAGCAGCAGTGGACATACAAGAGCAGCATAGAGCACGTCATGTTATTTTACCAGAAGTTGAGTAGTTTCCTCCCCTACTCCCTCCTCAACGTTACAACCGAAACATTTTTCCAGGCTCCTCCTGCTGCCCAAGACAACATGTCATGTTTAGTCACAATGCTGTAACTGAAAATATACAGCAAAGGCTTGCAAGAAAAGCCTACTCTCATTGGAAGCATAAATGTCCTTTAGTCTAGGCTTTACTGGGCTGGGTCTTTGATTTATTATAAGCCAAGGAGAGCAGTTCAGACTATTCCACAGTGACCTCTGAACAAACAAAGAAGGGCATTTTCCTTTTGATGATGATCTGCAATTTCTGCCTCACTATTTTTATGTTAGATCCCTCTCTCAGCTGCAGGATTTGCATAACAAAACAAAACCACAGCCTAAGTAAGTATCCGTTGTGAAGTGATAGCACATAATGGCAAACACTTTTTAAATCACGATGTAAAGCCATAGGCAGGTATGTGATGACACACGCTGGTAGCAAGAGTGATTCTCAATCAAAGATATCATAAATTAAGCATTAATCAACACACTGGGAGACAGCAAAGTGCTCCAACGATGCTAATGACCATGTCGTGTGAAATGGCAGGTTTGCAGTATACAGTTAGCTTGGGTGGCATGAATTACAAGTTGTTTGCTATGGCCACCTCACAATAGTACTATTCAGTAGTGCACTGGTAACACAGTGATTGGCAGATCTTTGGAACAGTACAGTGCTGCAGCTGGATAATTCCAGCATATTCCTGGTTTAAGTACAATGAGAACATTGAATTCTAATTACGTCCCCCCTTCAGCGTCCTTTCCCTGGGCAGAATGAGCCAAAATCTATTTTCGTGTCTCTCCAGTGAAGTTACACAAGGCGTGAATTTGCCCATCTAGCTACACTGACAAATCTACCACTGCTATAACAACAACAACAACAAGATTTCTCATATTCATAGTTTCATTCACAAGACTTCACAGACTCATTCAACACTGAGGGAGTATCATCCCTCTTCTTACAAAAGTGGTAAAGATTTTGCAGAACAAGTAATGAAACTGGAGATGGGAGTCAGGTAGCTGGATTCCCATTACCCTACATATCCAAAGCATGCTGCTGTCCCCACAGAATGTTGCCTCTGCACTGCAGCTGAGCACTGCCAGAAAAATGTCAATTTTCAGGGGTACCCATGGCACTATGACGAAATCAGAGTCTGAACCCTGCATCTGCTGCCATGCAAAAATTCAGTAACACTTAATTTTCATGGAGGGCCAGCACTCATGGAAGTCAGCAGGTGTCCTTTTATTCACTTGCCTATACATTGGCTCAACCCTTTAAGGACTCAGAGTCATGTAGTCTTCTGAACCAGTTCTCAGGTGCAGCTATCACTTCTCAAGCACTGAATACTTGCATGCCCAATGGGTGTTTCTGAGATGCCTAAATAGTTGGCTGCTTATTAACTAGATAGTTTTCTAATCAGCATGTACATTGCTCAGAGGTGACTACTGGTACAAAGAGGTAAAAATGGCTTCAAGAATGATGGTATATCTCGAAAGCATCATTTGAGCTTTCACAGCATTCCACATTAGTGATGTGGAACGCTGACTGATGTTTCTCTCTCTCTGCCTCCACTGGACAGAATTTCAAATTCTTCAAAGAAAGAGCTGAGTTCTTCATCAGTTGGATGCTGAAATTCTTTTGGCTATGCTTCAGGAACATTTGACCTGCCAGAAAGCAATGATGGGAACGACTCAGGTCCAAAGCCACAGAGTTTGAAGAGTTACACAGCCAGAAGGTGTCTTTACTACGTCTGCATTGTTTCTGACCCAACACCTCCTTCAAGATCAAGCATGCTGCTAGAGTTGATACCAAACCTGCAGCGTGACCTTGTGTATGGCTAGACTCTACCCTTCTGAGCACACAGACTAGCCCAACAGTTTAGTATGTTATCAGTAGGCAGTACTCACAGCTGCTCCAGAATCTCCTCTTTCACAATGGTATAACTGAGAGTCACCTATCAGTTTTCAGAAGAGAATAGACATTTCCTTTGTTAAATCTTCTTCATTAAAAAGTTTATGATCATTTTGTGGATTATGGTCCCAACTGTCTACTCTGTTGAAGTTTTAATGTTTTGTGTTACTATACCTCCATCTTCATTTATCCAGTAGAGAAACAGATTCATTGTTCCAACTTCAGTTATTTGGTGATCTTCCCCATAAAGCCACAAAACCTGCTGGCAGCCTAACTCCAGGGCTTCTTGCTGGGCATAAACAGAAGAACCATAATTCCTTCCAGAAACAAAAAGAAAGAGCAAATAGTTATGAGTATCTGGTTGGGTATTTTCTCATTTCTATGCAAGGTTTTGTGCACATCTACCTTATGAGCAAGTGCTCTGCACAGTCACTGCTTGTCCCTGGACTATTTTCATTGGAAGTACTCTACTAGTATTTTACTAGATCATTTGTATCTACAACCCAAAAAACTTTGAAGGGCTGAACAGCATCAACAGCTCAAACACATCGACCCAAATTGTCTTAGTAATACCTCTTGTTCCATTTTCTGGACATTCTAATTGTTGCAATTAGACACCTTAGGAAAGCATTTGTCTTTATTTAGCAGTTGGCATCCTGGAGAAAGAGCAACAATTCCCATCCAGCTCACGGTTTTAAAAAAAGCAAAACAAAACCATCTACCTCATCTCACATATGTCAGATGAACAGATGGGTCATATATGTCAGATGAACCTCTTGGAACACAAAAATCACCAGAGGCGACATTTCTTTTCTAGTGAAAGACATTTGCAGAACTAGTGGCTTCGGGAGCTGCAGATGGGCTTTGATGAATTCCGTATCTTTGAGGAGCAACTGTTTTCCTAAAATGCTGCCTACAGAGTGAACCTGCCTGAATAATAAGTGTTTACTCTGTAGCTGCTTTGAGTGGGGGGAAAAAAACCCTTTCACTTCTGATGTTCAACAACCATCAAGACCCAAAGTCAGCAGCTCCAAAGTGCTGAACACACACTGGAGTTAAGTTCTCACCTCTGGGCACAAATCAAGTCAGTAGTGACTCCAGACTATTCCTTTTTTCACAGCTGACATATGAGGGATGCACAGGAAACAATTAATATATTTCTAAAACTAAGCAAAAACTCACAAAGAAAGAATAGAGGTCTCAGAACACCAAACTGAATGAAGGAAAGCTGTTTTCTTGCCCTTTGATTATTCTACTAGCTCAGTGGAGCAGCACTTGACAACTGCTAACTTCCAGCCTAGAAAAGAAACTCCCAGGTAGAGACAATAAGCTTCGTTTAAACCAAAGACCAAGGATGTATCATTGAGTCATTTATTCAGCCATATCCAAGTTGCTTGCTCCAGTTAAGTCCTAAGCAGCTTCACTCTACAAGTCAAGTACTTGGACATTAACAATTATGTTTCTACCTAACTAGTGTTTTGGCCTACTTCAGCAGAAAACTGCCAGACTATGGTCAAGTCAATGCAGATAATTGTCTCATGATTTTCCTTAAACACCCATACTCCCCTAGCTAACTGCAGATGGCTTGTCAGGACAGTCTGCCAAGGAAGGAGGTCAGCAGTCAATGCTGCTCACTGCTCAGTTGGCAGCAGGCTGCTATACTGAATGCTGCATCACAGAAGTGGTATCTTTAGTGTCAACTTCTGCAAGGGAAACAGCCAAAGTATTACATGGACACCTTCCAGGTCCAGTTCCTCAGCTTGAGATGCTGCAAAATTGCCTCTGCAAATAATCCACTTGGCTGTAATATCCAAACAAAAATATGCAACTGAATTGTATAAATAATATTTGCAAATATTATTTATAATATTGTTAGAAACCTTTGTTACAGTACATTGTTTGTTTAACTGCTACATTTAATACCTCTACTTCTGCTGGATTAGATACTTCACTAAAAACCAAATCTCCTTTGTGAGCTATGTAGAGGATGCAGAATTATGTTTTCTTACCCTCCCAGTTTGCAGTCCCCCGTTCCTCCTTTCCAGGCTCTTACATATTTTGGATCTGCCCATAAGGATATTGGATTAAAGCTTCCACTTGCAAAGTAAGGGCCCACAGGGCTCAGTATGACATACAGTAGAGCTTTAGTCGGCTTCTTCACTCCAAGGGAAGGCTGAAAATAAGGAATGTAAACAAATCAGAAGTTACTGGTATACTTCACTTCAAACATCAGATGCTGCACAATTAGCATTTGAAACACTGTTTTCAGAGGAACTGCAGCACGAGAGTGCTTTTACCAGGACAATGCAAAGTGCTGCAATGAAGAGAAAATATTTATATAACTTCCCCCCCATCCAAGCAACATAACAACCCTAATTTTATATACTGTCATCATTCACTTACAGCTGTTTCATTTATCTATATATTATTCTAATCTTCTCAAATAGTTTCAAGCTTTTGAGAATTCAGAAATTAGCTTAACAAGATACTATATAATTATATGAATTAATCACAGCAGAAGCCTGCAAAGCCTTCTGGGGGGAGGAGTGGCAAGGACCACTGCTAGCAATAACAACAGTGGAGGAACCACTGTCAGCTGCATTAGTGATGAGAATTAGCCAATGCCACTTAGAAATGGCATTGGCAGAGTTGAGTGCTGGCTCTGTGAATGGCTGTGTGACAAGCTAAAACGATTTGCCTGCTGGAAATGGTTCACACAACACCACAGGAAATAACCTGGAATATATCGCTTTTTTTTTCCCCCTCCTCTCTGAGAGATGGCTTCTCACACTTCAAGTCATCACCATCAATACTTGAAGGTGGAGGTGAAAAGTCTGCACTGGTCAAAGTCTGAATCCTGTGGTAGGAGACTCTGCTTAACTATATGATACTTTGCAAAGCTCAGGACCGACCACAGAACGATTGAGGTTGGAAGGCGCCTCTGGAGATCACCTTGTTCAACCCACCTGCTCAAGCAGGGCTATGTACAGCTGGTTACCCATGATTCTTGGATCTTCTATGCAACTGAATGGGTTACTATTTTCTCTCCACTCAGAGAAACCAGTCTCGTAAAAAGAACAAGCTCATCCTTGGTCTCTAAGATTAGGCCTCCATTGAAAAAATGTTATTGAACTTAAATCTTTAGGACCAAAGGTCTAAACAAAACACTGTGCACAAAGCACATGAAGCTAAATTGGGAGGTGGGAGGGAAAATAATAATAGTGTAATAATGCAACTAGTGGAAAATTCAAATAAGCCCTCCTCAGGTGCTGAGAGGGTTCTTTTGATTTCTGTCTACCTTACTCCTTCAGCAAAACTTCTAACAAGAATTAACTAACCGAGATCTTGATATTTTTCCTGATTCTTACATGATCGTTCAAAAGATTGTGCTGACTGGGTTTCCTAATTGTGCTGATTCATAAAAGATTAGCAGGACACGCAACCCGGAAACAACATATGACATTGTGGAAAGGCCAGATATGTTGGCTAACCTGAAACAAAGCTCAACAGCAAAAGAACTTCCAGAAACAAAAACAGGGGAAAAAAATTCAATTTTTAACATTAATACTTTACAGTCACTGAGTGGAGATCTTTCCATCTGAAAATCTGCAACTAGTTTACAAGCATTAAATTAATGGAGTCGTAGAACATGTGAAATGTATAATGCTCATGTATGGTAACTACTTACAGGTGTGGATATTGCAGAAGAGTAACTTGTCTAGTTGGAAACCATACATTCTTTTGCTTCCTTGTCCTATGCTCTACCATTATAGGTTTCTCTCTTGCCACTACTAAAAAAAAAACCCTTAAAGTTTTAATTCAAATAAACTCCCTGTGTGTAATTCCCTTTATAAATACTATAGGCTTGACTCACGCCCACAAGAAACTCACAGAGTACACACTAACACCTAGTTGCTAAGGAGCCTCTGATAAGGTCAGGTTTATCTGGGTTCAAGAATAAATTGACACAAGAACTTGTTCTCAGTTCTGTTAAAAGTCTCTCTCAGAAGAGCCATCTTAATTTACTGGGTAGAATCTTCCAAAATCTCCTCAGTAAGGTCAGGATGGAGGTATGAGATGAAATCACAAAATCCACTCAGCAAATTTCTGTTCCCTCACATTTTCTCCAGACTATTAGTATTTTAAAGGCACGTATTACCATGTCACAAATAACTATCCTTTTACTACAAAACCAAAGTTAATCTAAATTTTGCCATTACCACTCAGAATCGTTAATTGAAGTTTACGTTCTGTGGTCTGAATCAATGTGTCCACTAGGTGGTGGTGTGGTCAACATAAATTTGTGAAGCAGAGCTACAGGTGACTGACTCAGAAGTAAAAACGTAAGAACAATTTGCCCCTGAACTGTAATACTGTTGTCTAGTGACTACTGCATATTTCCCTTTATGGATGGAGGCTTTTGCCTCGTGCTTAAATACACAAAGGTGAAGAGGGGGAAAAAATGTTTCACACCTCAGTTCCAATTAAGGTAGGACGGATATACAGGCTGGCAGCGGTGGAGTATGGGACCCACTCCTTTTCCACTTCCACAAGCTTCCGAATGCACTCTAGCAGCTCATTCTGGTCAAAACACTGGGAAGGCAAAGCAAAGGGAGAAAATCAAATAGAGAAATATAGCCTGAACACTCTGTGATCTTTATGGACCCATATGCTAAGGGGAACACTTCATCTGGATACGTAACAGTGACAGTCCGTAGAGGTTCATAGGACTACACCATCTTCCTTGAGTTAATTTCTTACAGAATTTAAGATTCCATGATCTTTGCCACTGTGCCTTTTTATACAGTACCCTGAATGCCCTCCTTCTGCTACAAAGTATCCCCCTGAGAGAGTAAAAAGGAGCCGTTGACCCTTCTTGCCTCCAAAACCCATGGAGAGAACTCCCTGTGCAGCCAACACCTTCACTTTGGCGCGCTGCAAACTATGGCACCACCTCTTTCTGCAGAGGAGTGCTTTGGGTTATAACTCAAGGGACCCACCAAGTCTCCCTGTTTTACGAAGTTCTTACAGTAATAGAGCTAATAAGTGTGGGAGGAAATTCACTGGCCAATATACAACTGCTAAAAGCAGTGTTAAGTTGCTAGTGTGACCAAAAATGAAGGCACTCGGAGGCTGAAGGACTTAACTGAAGTGGAAAGAAGAAAAGGAAGAACATTAGCGCCAGAACAATTTAATCAGCTGTCTGCATGCGAATAGCTGCAGAACAGCGCTCATCCCTCAGAAATAGACTGTGTACATCGGAGGCAGTAGGGAGACAACAAAGCAAGCAAAACACTGCTGTGATTTAAAAGAAAAATGCATTACAAACAGTTCCTTTCACTGAATAAGATCTCTTAACAAAGTTTAACTGAACTATTCAAGAGTTAGAGTATTTGACGAATGTTACACTGCTGTAAAGTTTCAGAGATTTGTACTCTGAAAATGAAAATACGCTCTGACTTAAGGAGAATAAGATGTCTTGGCTACGTACTGGCAGACTTGCTCGTCTTGCTGATCGCGCCATCCTGTCCATATTGAGGGTTGGCCGGAACAGGCGGATCTTGCCATCCACTCCTCGGTAAGCCTTCATTCCTTCAAACAACTACCAAGCCAAAAAGGAGGGAAAAGAAATCAAATAATAATTGATTATTTATCCCACGATGATCTGTGCAAAAGCAGAACACACCCTTTGGAAATAAAAGAACTTCACTTTCCTGCTCACAGTACTCAAAGCATAAATGCTAACTAGTTAATCCTTGCAACACACTCCTGTGAGGTAGTATTATGAAGTTTATATTACAGAGACGACCTGCCTATGCTTCAGATATATCTTTCTCTGTCAGGGGACTTAATGATAACCATTTTTTTCATAATTTGGTTACAGCAATTAAAATTTGTAGCATGTGTTTGACTTAACCATTCCCTCACAACCTGACTGATACCTAAGGCTGAGCCAAAACAGTATTTTCCCTTACAGAAAAGATCTATAGAATTTAATTATATATGTTAATCATTTTTAGGGCTCTGTCCAAAATGCATTTTGGTAGGAAGCATAGAATAAGGTAATTAAAAGAACTCTGTTGTAGTTCTTGCTGTAGTTGTAGCAAAATCTTGGTCACTTATTTCCCCCATATATCCTTACGCTGTGGAAGGGGGTTTAGCTAGCATGAAAGACAGGTGGCCTCTAGTGTAAGGCATCAGCCTTACACTAGAGGAAGAATGCATGAAAATGTTTTATCTGTACCTTACAGGAAACTTAAATTAGTCATAATTATCCCATCAAACTGCAGAATCCGGATGACGGGTGTTGACAATCAGTGTACCAGAAACCCTTATTCCACCACTGCCCTCCCAGCAGAATGCTCTACAACATCTCCTAACCACAGCAAAAAACATATGCCAACAAAATATCCATAGTTATTTTCAGTTGATAATTTCCAGTTATAGTTATAGACAGAAAACACATGTACTATATAAGCTCACATTAATATATACAGGTATTATTTAGATTAAGTATTAAAGGATCACTTATGCTTATAGACAAGGTTTCAGATTTTTAGAATTTATTTTCTAAAGCATTTCTTTGTACATTAAATTTCAGTATAAGTTCTATGAATTTAACTGCATCGCTGCTGTCAGTCTCTGCAGACTTGTCCTCCTGACTGTTCCACAAAAAATGGCTTGAAATACATTCTACGTGGTTGAAGTCTACATATGCAGGTTTTTTATTTGGAAAAAAGAATCCTGTATTTGTGTATAAGTAATTTTAGTACAATGCGCAAGGTTTCATTCTTATTAAATTCTATAACATTTTCCCATAAGGATCAGTGGAATGCAACGTTTAGAAAGCTTTTGTGCAGTCCCATAACAGAGCTAGGTCCTTCCACATGACAAATTTTAATTGGGTTGTAACTGGGTTGCAGGAATCCCGGCAACTTTCCTTAGGCTACATGCCAACTATGTAGCAGAACCAGAATTAGAACCCAGAACTTTTTGCCTTCAATATTTATCTTATTCCTATGGCAATGCCAACCTTATTAAAAGCTTTGTACACAGTTTTGCAAAAGAAACTGTTCCTAGGATAGACATTGTAGCTACAAGAAAAAAATTCTATCTTTAATAAAGGATGGCATAGCTGGTGATATGGTTGATACTTTGATATGATTTTTATTGGGCCAGTTACTAACTAATACCACATTTCTGTAATGGTACTTTCTTATCACAGAACAGTTGTTTCCCCCCACCCTTCTCCCAAACACAGTCACAGAACTTTTAATGAGAGGGAAGAGGAAGGAATGTTACTACTAAGATTTGATCAATAGTTTGAGAGAAATAAGAATCATATCATTACTGAAACACAAAGCCTTCTCAAGCTGTTAAATCTTTTTCTCCAAAAAGAAATACTTTTAACCTGCCAGAGCTCAGTAGAACCTTTCACTTATTAAAAAAGGGAGACAGTGATGTGTTCCAGAAATGCTCAACTTGAATAAAAGCAACTGCTGTGGTTGCTTGATGTTTGGTTGCTACAGTGGTATGCAAACAATATTATCTGACATCTGTACATCACAGGAGCTGGATCTGGAGTTCAGCAGATCCAGACTATCACACTGCATCATGGAGGGCAAGGAGAAAGGGGAGGGAATGCCAAATTCATCATTTTTATTATACCCACTGTGTATTCATTGAGCCACAGCATTGGCACCAGATTCTCCTCTGTCTGTCCTCTTGGCTAGAGGAAACGTGATGCAATAAGGGTAAAAGAATGAAAAAAATGGGAAAAAAATAAGAGCATATTCATATTAGCAATGATTTCAGACTGGGCCAGAGGCCGAGCATTAAAGCAATATGCTACTAAGAGTGAAATATAGATTTGGGACTCCAGCGTGGTTTCTTACTTCTTGGGCAGATCAAGAGCTGCAGCCTTAGTCACAGGGGCCTGTTTTAATTTACACAGGACCTTTAGAGGCTTGGTGACTAGATGGGGAAAAAACAGCAACAACAAAAAATGGTGAAGACAGGAGCTCAGGGACAACAAGCAGGGAAAAGCTTGATCCTTCCCTTATACCAGTGGTTAAAAAAAAAAAAAAAAAAAAGAAAAAAGAAAAGAAAAGAAAAGAAACAATAAAAGAAGCACAAGCAACTCCACTAACTTCAGTGGAGGCACTCCCACCTACCCAGAAATGGGAGGAGAAGCAGGCTTCCATTTCAGCATATATGCCCTACTGAGGCTCTCACACAGATGTGAGTATAGGCAAAGCTGCTCTGGAGATACAAAAGGCAGCTTTAGACAGTAAGCAGCTAAGCACGGAAACTGTTAACCACGCTGGTTTCCGACTTAACATTTCACTTTCCAAAGTTCCTTGCTGTATATTCTCTGCTTAAATACACTTGTATATGCTGAATGCATCAGATCTAGTTCGGAGCTCTCCAGACTTGTTCGGAGTTGCAAACAAGCATCTGTCTAGTCTGTCCTACAATCCAAGCTATGAACCTTTAAAACAGCTTAAAATAACTTTCACAAAGTGCATGTTCAGTCCCCAAATTAAAGCTACCCTTGGAATCTCACACAGTCTTATCCAGTGCTTCATTAAGTTACATCAGAGACAGTAATTGGACCGATCCACCGTCAGTGAACTAGAATACTTTCTCAAATGAATTTGTCACCACACAAGAAAGGGCTCACCTTCACTAGGCTAGCAAGTTAAGTGAACTGGAATCCAGAGGCCAGAATTGCTTCTGAGTTATACTAACATAAACATAACCCTGTTGTAAATAATGGAATTATTCTGGAAGGACATCAGTTAACAAAACAAAATGTAACTCAGTACTAATAACAGTCCTTGTATTACAAAGCTATGGCTTCAAGAGCTAATGAAACAAAATAGCAGCTTCCAAATCGATTCAATACTCACTTCTATAGCATAATGCAGAGATGAGGAGGCTGGATGCAACGAAAGGTTCTCAAGTGGCTTAATATAAGGTTTCTCCCATCCTGAAGCCAAGGACCATTCAATTGTCAGCATATTATCAGTGAACACAGTTCCAAATACCAAACCACTGGGGTCTGGTTTTTCCTTGAAAGTCGTAGCTGGGGTGATAATCAAGTCTGAAGCCTGAAGGAACATGAAGACAAAAATGAAGTGTATGAAAATAGTTAAGTCAGACTGATTTAAAAATTATTCTGCATCAGTGAACATGGACAAATGCAATATTTTATCTGCGGGGACATCTAATGACAGAACGGTTAAAGGTGTCTAACCTCTAAGTAGCTGGCAAACTATTCATACTGTGTATGCACACATATACACAGTGCTGCTTATACCAAAAGTAGTTAGCACATTTTGAAGCACTGTTAAGTGGAGGAAGCAGTACAAGGTGTAAAAACAGAAAATTAGCAGATGACAATTTCTTGGACATTTAGATCAACACATCTATACAAGTTCCAGAAACACCCAACTGCTGTACCTCAGAACGTAAGCTGATCATCAGAAATTAATCCCCCTCATAACTAAGGAGATATGTCACGCTGATTTTCCTTTAATGCATAAAACCAATGTGAGGGATCAGAGCCAGCAGTCAGCAGATTACTTGGGTCACACTAGCTTGTTCATTCACATTCGTATTTTCCTAGAAAGAACCCATTAGCAAAGAAGGCTAAATGTTTCCCCGCATGATTAACTGTAGAGACTTTCTCTTACAAGCCATGACTTGTAGCTCAAATGGTGCGAATCATCCTGAAGAACAGCAGGGGAAGAAAGAAAGCAGGATCTCTGGCACCTCACTCCCCTTTTACACACAGATAGAGGGCTAAACAACTAGAGAGGGCTATGAAGTGATCCACCCTCTCTATTCTCTTTCTATGCCATCTGAGCATTTAAACTGTGCTGTTCAGAGGCAAGGAAGAATGCAACAAAGAATTGTATTCAAAGCTCCATTTTCCTTCCTAACATGACTCAGAAAGCACTGACCTTTATTACAGACCCCCAAGTGAAATCTTACTCCTCTACGTTTGGTACATATAGAATAGACTGGAACACAGGTAGTTCAGACTATTGTTCAAATAATTTGCACATACACTAAAAAGGCAGCTCTGCAAGAGATATCACTGACTTTGACTTCTCAGACTCAGCACACACTTTGCAAAATGAGAGAAAATTAGTCCCAAGCTTTTGAAAAAGACCACACGCACCCCTGCCTCTGTAAACAACCTGATTTTCAAGATGTCTTTAATGAACAATGGCCTATTTTTTATTGATTGGTTGGTTTTGGTTTGGGTTTTAGGGTTTTTTTTTGCTTAATGGCTTGGATGTAAAATTAACTTAGAGCTGGAGCACATGAATAGCTAAAAGCTTGTTTCAAACTATCTCCAATTATAGGGCTTGTCTAGATATTACAGTGCATTAGCCTGGTTGAACTAATACATAATCTGATGAAACACCAATTACTCTTCTTAACTCTTTATAGTACCCTTTATCCTACTGACAGTGAACTCTCCAATGGGAAAAGCACTACTTAACGATGTCCTGAAAATAAAAATGAATTTTACCTGACAACCTCTTATCATGCGCTTTGGAAAAAGATATTGTAGAAGAGCATGGATCAAAATAAAAGCCACAAAGGAGTGTTTGCAATTATCCACAATGCAAGACTCAGCTCAGGAAAACACTTATGCAGGAGCAGGATGTCAATGGGGCTTAAGCAAGGATGTAGAACACAGTTATATCCTTGGCTTTATCTCTGGACAGAATCACAGCTTCTAAAGAACTACTACTGCCAGTGGTATTAACAGCTCTCCCTGAAGTCAAGGCTTCTGTCTCATCTCAGGTAATTTTCATTAAGGTAATTATCTTTACAATAAACTGGCCTGGGGACCAGAATTGTCATATGGAGTCTCATCCCCTAGAATTCCCATCAGTGTGCTCATTTCTGCTTTTATGCCTCAGTTTGACAGTTCCTCAGTTGTGGTAGCACAACTAGTTGATAGGCAGCACTATAAAACAGTTTGCTAAGATCATCAGGGTTGACAAATAGCTTTTACTTTAAGGATGGGGAAGGATTTTAACCTGGCTCTTCTCTCACAGGCCCACAAGCACATGTAGAGGGAGCCGCGAGCTGCAGCCACAAGTGAAGAAACCACACTCCTTGGGAGCATCTGGGCTTTCTTTGACCCAGTTTTGCCACCAAAGATATTTCTCCAGATTTGGAGACCTGGGGTTCAAGAGAGTCTTGGACAGAGTCTCTGTCATGTGAGTGATAATTTAATAAAATGATGCTGATCAAATACAAGCACTCTGTTACGCTCTAATTGTTAATACAAAGAGGGTCCCAGATCCAGAGTCACTCCTGTGCTGGGTCATTAGAGATAAGAGGTGGGCCAAGTGCTCACTCCTGCAAGTTCAATAAAATGGGTACTCCTGTGTGACGGGCGGTCACACAGCAGTGACTATGGCTCAGAGCAGTAGCCCACGCTGCTTAGCTCTCAGCCCCAAGGACTGGGGACTTTCTGCAGTCACAAACAGAAATCACTGGACTGGATCTCAGGTTGAGTCACTTGAAGGCAGAAAGACTAGAGAGGAAGGTAGCTATGATGCTTATCCAGAAAAGAAGCAAATAGTTTCTGGATCACAGAGTTTCCTGGAGCTGCGCACTCTGAACAAGGAGCCCACCTGCTGTTTCTCACCTCCTCAGCATTTAGGGAAACCAGCTTTCATTCAGACATTTTGCAAACATCTGACTCAACAATATCAGGCACAACACTTGACCCATACACCTCCATCAAACAACAGTAGGAACACCCTGCAGAAGACCTCAAATATAGGCTAAACTGCACAGATCAGTAGGGCAACAATCATTAAACAGGCAAAAAGGCAATTTTCTTGATCCTTATAATCCTGTTAAGCTCTCAGGAGATGCATTTAAGATTTTTTTTGGCCATTGCTTTCTTAAGATCCTTTCTTAAGGCTCTTCTCTCTTATTCATTCTGTTGGATTTTTCTACCTCTTTTTACCAGGCAGCGAGTAGTGCAAGTTAAGAGTGTGCAAGATCACCTGAATCGTTCAGAATCCCAATGCTTTTTATGTCAAGACACCATCAAGCACTGCAATACATTCAATCTCTTTTTTCCATGGAGGGGGATGCAGGGGGGGTGTTGGAGAACCCATCCTTGGAGTACTCTCTCCCACAGTGTGGTCTGCAGCACAAAGTATTGCCAGCACCCTCAACCTCTTCTAGGTCCCTGAGTAGTAAGACCCCCTACACAACATCTCACCTGGGCCACAGACCCTTGTGGCTTAACTTGCCCCAAAGTCCTGTCCCAGCATTTTGTGGTGCTGTTCAAGCAGCACCAGCCAGAAGGAAACCAAACACTTAGAAGAACCCACACAAAGAGAGCAGAGCAAGGCCAGGTGACTAATACCAGGAGTACTGATTAAGTATCAATGCCTATTACTTTAATATCACTCATTAAAAAATTATCGCAGTGCTACCATGGTATCACCTATGACCTTTATAAACGGCAATTTATTCCTTTCCTTTGTCAACATTCCCCCAGCCCTGAAAGCAGCATATTAAGGATTGGCATTAACACCCATCCAGATCTCCACTGTTTGTACTGCCAATACAAAGGGCAATTTCCAACTAGGTTTGTGTTTTGCTTGCTTTGTTTATCAACATGCTCTTAAGCACCTTCTGTCGCTGCTGCCCAATAAAACCATTAAACTGGAAGGAAAACCGGTAAATGCAGCAACAAGAAGGATAAGGGAGATAAAGAAACAGATGTGGCACACAGTTTATTGCGTGCAGCTATTCGGCCCCTGTTGCCTAAAGTAAAATGACAAAGACGTAGTTCCAGCCCTGCAAACTCTCCATGTCGCAGCAGTACAGTACGTACAAGATACATGTGCCTAGATCCCAGCCCAGGGCACTCCAGTAAGAAATAGGAAGAACCAGATTGCCCTGCCTATGGTAGGCAAAAGGGAACGGTGGGGAAGTCACTGGATACTGTTGATTTTCAGGGCTTATACAGCAACACTACACCTACAGCCAGCCACTGTCTCGACCAGACGCACTTTTTTAAATAGCCTCTCATCTGAAAAGTGCCTGCTGATTCCAACACGACTTCTTCCAGAGCGAAGCTTTACCCAGACCAAGTAAAGAAGATATATTGTGACCTCCTGAACTAGAATTCACCATTTGATCAAAACAGATCTTGTCAATTATGAGCTAGGTCAAATTAAAAGCGAGGTGCTGCTCTGTGTCAATTTTAAGTAAAGCTGTAGCAAGACATTCTGGTGCCCCTAGCCAAGATGTCAGTTTAACACTTACTCTACCCAGCTTTTGCAATAGCCTTAAGTGGATCTGGAGCTGACAGCAGCCTCTGGCCAGAGCTGTTACTCTCATTACTACATTCCTACCTTTCTTACCTTAGAGAGCTGTCTTGGGTAGCTGCAGATGGCAAGTGCGTATTTTGTCCTACTCTTTCCATCAAGTTTTGCCAATGCCTTCCCAAATGATCCTTGGCTGAGGTTATTTTCACTGCACTGAAACTACTAGACCATAAGCAGTAGGTTGAGCAGCTGTAACAGGTGTAATTCATTTGACGTACCCAAACTTTTCTAAACACTGTGCTGGGCCAAGCATTTCTATTGCTTACTTGAGTAAAAACAGAACTGGCAGCCTCAGCTGTAAAATAGCTTACAAGTTACCTAACTATAACAGCAAGTTTCAGCAGAGATCCTCAGAACATTAATATCCACTGTGAGACTGACTGTAATCTATTCTGATGAAGTAAGTAACCTCCTTGACTTCTAGTCAAGGTGATTCATTCAAGATCACAAAGCAACTGCAATTATTATTTTTTATTACTTATGCTGAGTTTGTAAGCATATCCTAGGAAAGATCAGGGCCTTCTGATGCAACAACAGACATGGAAGCGTAGGCAAAATTGAGTAACTTGTTTTGCCCTTGCACTTGTGAACAGCCAAATGTGGTTGCAGCAGCAGAGCAAATTTTGAGGAGACATTACAAAGAGCATGAGGAATTACTATAAAGGGTAAAGGTAACAAAGCATAGTCGGGGGAGTTGGAGAGAACGAGGCTGGGACTAGACAGAATGG